TCAAAGGGCCCCTGATCTAATTTTGTCCGTTGGCCCAGAAGGCTGTCAGTCTGTCCCTGAACGCAGGTGTCCAGTTGTAATACACTACCTTGACAATTTTCTCTCAATTGATCCACACTACTCCATACCAACCAGCCAACCAGCCTTTCATTATTCAAGGATTTGGGAATTCCTGTAGCCACAGGCAAAATGGAAGGTCTCAAAACTGACATAACTTTCCTGGGTATTACACTAAATTCAGTATCTATACAAGCTAGCTTGCCTCAGAAAAAGTAGATAGGATCCTGACATACAGGTGATACTCGAAAAATTAGAATAGCGTGCAAAAGTTCATTTATTTCAGTAATGCAACGTAAAAGGGGGAACTAATATATGAGATAGATGCATTACTAGCAAAGCAAGATAGTTCAAGCCGTGATTTCTCATAAGTGCGATGATTATGGCTTACAGCTCATGAAAACCCCAAATCCACAATCTCAGTAAATTAGAATATGACATGCAATCAATAAAACAAGGAGTGTACATAGAACAATATCAGACCTCTGAAAAGTATAAGCATGCATATGGACTCAGTACTTGGTTTGGGCCCCTTTTGCAGCAATTACTGCCTCAATGCGGCATGGCATGGAAGTTATCAGCCTGTGGAACTGCTGAGGTTTTATGGAAGACCAGGATGCTTCAATAGCGGCCTTCAGCTCTTCTGCATTGTTCGGTCTCATGTCTCTCATCTTTCTCTTGGCAATGCCCCATAGATTCTCTATGGGGTTCAGGTCAGGTGAGTTTGCTGGCCAATCAAGCACAGTAATCCCACGATCATTGAACCAGGCTTTGGTGCTTTTGGCAGTGTTGGCAGGTGCTGGTCCTGCTGGAAAACTAAGTCAGCATCCCCATAAAGCTCGTCTGTGGAAGGAAGCATCTCCTGGTAGACGGCTGCATTGACCTTGGACTTAATGAAGCACAGTGGACCAACACGAGCAGATGACATTGCTCCCCAAATCAACACAGACTGTGGAAACTTCACACTGGACTTCAAGCATCTTGCAGTGTGTGCCTGAAGGAAGAGCTTTTATCTCTACATTACTTGTACTCCTACATGGACTACCAGATGACGACACTAGAAATAATTTAGACGACCCAGCCAGGGCTGACTTAAAAATGTGGCATCTCTTTTTGTCCTTAGGGAATGACAGATTTTTATTTGTTCCACTTTATTGGACGACTCCCCAATAATATGGACTGACGCAGCAAGATCCATAGGTTACGCTGCTATATGGTGACAATTGAATACGACATTTGGCCACCAGAAACTTCTACTTTAGAGAATTTGAATCAAACCTCAGCACTGTTTGAAATTTTTCACATAGTTGTAGTAGCTCACATATGGGATATCTGGAAAGGAAAAGTGGTAAGGTGTTTTTTAGATAACTTGGCAGCTGGCAACAGTATTAATAAAGGCCGGTCCCAATCCCTTACTGTAATGAATTTAGTAAGGAAATGTACCTGGTTAGCAGCTAATCTACAGTTCTTTTTGCACTGCATTCATGTACCAAGTGTTCTGAATAACGCTGTTGATGCTCTATCACGTTCAAATTTACAGGAGTTTTCAGACTCGATCCTACAGCGATCATTCAGCCCAGAGAACCTCCGCAGTTCAAAGACCTAATCATGCCTTAATTTTATTATTAAATCAGAGTGTATCACTTGCTCAGACTGGTTTGTCTACAAACACAAAAACACAAAAAGCTTATGCTAGAGCATTTTGTTAAGGAAAAGAAAAAAGTGTGCTTTGCCTTTAATTGCTAAATTAACAGTATTTACAACCTGTGAACAATTAATAATACAATCGAACAGTGAAAAAAGTGCAAATGCAGTATATTAATTAAAGTGCAAAAAGTTTATCTAATTTTACACACTGTGTGTGAATTATGTGCACTTTGTGAAATTAGGCAAAAAACACTTACTCCTCAGAGTGTAGAAACTGAGAAGATTTAAAGGAGTATTTCTCTGTAAATCGCTCCACATATAAGCAGAGAAATTAAGAAACAAGAAACAAAATATAGTATAAATCTGTATAATAATTATAATCAATAAAGTAGGAGAATTAACAACTCACAATGGTAGAGCAGTATAAAGTCTGCTCTAACTTTAAGTGCTTTCTTGTCCTATCCGCAGGACTCTGTCGAAGCAGTAGGATGATGTACTTGAAGTAAGCAGGATGGCAACGGAATAAAAGTTTATTCTTTATTGATACAAAGTATAAAAGAAAAGACATTCTCTCTGGAAAGCTGTTGTATTTCGATCCCACTTCTGACTCACGGCATGCACTTGCGGTCTTCCAGTGGTCAGGCACCTCCGGGAATAGGAGGTGCTTGTGGCGTGTTCTCACATCGTGCGTCGGACGTTTGGGTGGTTGCCGTCTGTTGGAATATATACCCGTCTGTACAGGCGTGGTAGCCTCTTCAATTACACATAATTAGTCCTGATACAAACTTGCAAGAGAGTCTATGGACTGGAGGGCATATGCCTAATTGTCTCTTTGTAAAAAAAGTCCACTTCATTAAATATTGTATACATAATGATAAAAGACTCCTTCTTTTATAAGAATTAAAGTATAGAAAGAAAACCAAACTTATAATGCCAGTCAATGAAATAATAACAGGGTCTGATACAAATATAAAGGCAATTCCATCCTACTATGTGGGAGAGAAAAAAGTCACTTCATTTAAAATATATCTTAGAGAGCATAATAATTATAGGAACCAATAAATATGATTAAAAATCCCAGTGCACATGCAGAAAGATTTTTATTAAATAAAAATAAAATAAAAATAAAAAATAAGAAATAAGATGAGAATAGAAAAATAAAATAAAACTAAAACAGTGAGTGGACAACCTATAAATATTCTAAAATTATACTAAAAATAGGGAGGGCTGATAACATCATAGGAAGTTATATAGGTCGAATTCTATATTCAGTCCATTGGGCTCTAGGGTACCTAATTTATGTACCCATTTCATTTCTTCCTTCCCAATGTCTAAAATATAATTACCACCTCTCCAAGACTGTTTAACTATCTGGATACCTAAATGTTAAACCACTTGCATCTTGTTTATGATATCTTTTAAAATGAGCTGAAACCAACGTATTGTAATCCGCATGGACAAATTAAAAGATAAATAAGTTTTTTGCTAAAACAAGTTGTAAAATAATTTATTTGGAAATCTTCTTCTTTGTGCTTTGTTTTAAATTTGCTAATGCCTTTTAGAGTTTTATTCTTACTGCCTTTGCATCCCACACATTTTCCACATGAATAAAAACCTTTTTTTATTATTTTTTAGAAAGGTAGTAGGTGCTTCAGCTTTGGAGTGGTTAAAAGTTAGCTAACGTTTAAGGCTTGGTGCTCCTCTAAAGGTAATAAAAGGTTTGTCTGGGATCACTTTCGATAGTTCTTTATCTTTTTTAAGAAGGTGCCAGTGTCTATTTATAATGGATTTGACTTTCCTATTATCATTATTAAAATCTAAAACCAAGGGCATTAAATTATGATTATCACATTATTTTGTAGTATCATGTTTGGAAATCAATTCTTGTTGGTTCAATATGTTAGTTTCTTTAAATGCTTTTTCAAGTATAACATCGGGGTATTTCTTTTGTGCAAATTTGTTTAGAACAATTTTAGCTTGTTCTTCAAAAATGTAATTATCAGTACAATTTCTCCTGATCCTTTGCAATTGTCCTTTAGGTATATTATTTAACCAAGGTGTATAATGTCCGCTATTGTATATGACATAACTATTAGCATCAACATTTTTGAAATTTTATTTGTTTTTTAGAATATCCCCTTCTGTATAAATTTCCAGATCTAAAACGTTTATGCTTGCAGTACTAAATTGACTGTTTAATTCAATGCCCCAATTGCTATTGTTTATACTTATTTGGAAACTTTTTTAATAACTTCCATATAAAAAGTAGGTCGCCAATATACCTATGGTCCCAAATGCTGTGCTGTTAAAAATAACATCATTTTCCCAACCCAACATGAATAAGTTGGCATAGCTGGGGACGAACCGGGTCCCAATAGCCGTACCCAGATGAGCATTTTGTTTGTTTAAGAAATTTGTGTGTGTGTCGGGTTTGCGTGATGACGTAGAGGTGGGCGGAGGTACGCACGCATCCGGAGGCGGGGAGGTTGACCCGGTAATGGAGGAGGAACGGCGTTCTTTTAGATCGCACGAGGCAAGATTGAAGTTCGAACGGCGATAAGAAACCCAGCATTATAGCAAGTCTGAGAGCGGCTAACATTTTGATATCTTTGATACCGCTGATACCGCTAATACCACTGATGCTGATGCAGACGCCGACAACTAGCTGAAACCCTATAAGATGGTAATTCTGCCCGTACCTGCTCATAGTTGTTCACACGGAATAATCAAAAAGAAGCTGTGTGAAGTTGTGTGAAAAGGAGCAATGGATGTAAAGAGAACGTAAAGAGAAAAGAGACTTAAAGATAAGCTAAGTACTTCCTTTTCTTTTGCTCTCTACTTACTGCTTATGCTGTGAAAAGCTGTGAAAGACTGTGTTAAAAGACTCTGAAATGACAATTAGTCGAAATCTGTATGATGTAAATTTGCCTTTATCTGTTCATATTAGAAATAAAATAGTCAAAAGGAAGTGCTGTGTGAAGCGAGCATTTGATGCAAAGAGAAATGAAGACAAGCTAAGTACTTCCTTGGTTTTTGTCTATATTAGCTCTTTAGATTACGCTCAATGCTGTGAAAAGAACGTGAAAGGACTGAGAAAGTAAAGATAAAACTGTAAATAAAAACTAAAAAAAATAAAAAAAAGGAAAAAAAAAATAAACATATATCAAATATAAAAAAAACCCTAA